CAACCCTAAAGCAGCACAGGGCGTATGGCTGAGCGAGCAGAAACACTGTGTCTGTGTTATGGTGCGTAGCCATGGTACTCGACCTGATGGAAAGAGAGAAGAGTTCATTCTGCCATAAAAAGGTATTATTGTTAAGGTAGTTTTGTGAAAATCAACAAAGATATTTTTCGTATGTATAATCACAATCGTTTTGAAAAAAACTACTAAATCTGCAATAAAGACTACAGAAGCAAAGACAGAGAATTTTGTTTAAGATTTTCAAATTATATATTTAAAGCTGAACTCATCAATATATTTACATACTAAAATTAGTCAAATGGATTCGTTTAATATGAGCAAGGTTGCACGTCGAAAAACAATAACGCAAAATGTATTCTTAAAGGTAAGGTATGTAATTTTGGAGAAACCAGCTCGAGTGCGCTAGAATTTGAAAATACACAACCGGAAAAAATCTGACACATCCTTACAGAGCCCCTCCTCCAACACACACGAACGCGCGCACATGACCAATGAGGGCACGAGATAAGTTTGTGCACGAGATGGAAGGCTGACAGCAGTGGCGGCCGGCCCATAGGGGCGCTAGGGGAGCCGCCCCCCCTCTTCCCACATTTAAAAAAATATATATATTTTTTATATTTTCATTTTTATTTTTAATAAACAAGGTACATATTATATAGTTGGTATCAGAAAAATGTATAATCTACAATAAAATCTCGTTTAAATTTGTGTTACGATTTCCTGCCTGGCCGCAGAAATCTTTGCCCGTGTATCCTTACCCTCTCTCGTCTGGGCTCTAAGAAAAGAGCTTCTGAAATAAATGACATACCCCACCTTTAAGTCAACAGTTCTCATGTTTACAATGTGTTAGCTACAGTGTGTTAGCTTCTTTTGGCTAAGTAGTCCTACTAGCTTCTTTAAATGTGACTGCTTAGATCAGTCCTTTTTCTACTTGCATCCCCTTGTAACATATTGCGTACTGTATGCATGTGCATGTTGGAGTTATTTAAAAAGAATAAAGAAGTGTTTTTATTGCGGTTGACAATATACTGTATTATCCAGAAATACAAAGTCAAATAGCAACAGTCAAAAGGCATGTGCTTTTTATTTGACCACTCAGAAATCAGCAGACATAAGTGGAAAACCCCAAATGGTAAAATGGATATTGTCAATCGAAAAAAGCCGTTTATTTTTGGGAGTTGTTGGAGACCAAAGCAAAGCTAAAAAGCAGATTGAATACTCGCCAGAAGCAGAAGTCAATATGGACGCTAATATTCAAAGTTATGCAACTGATCACCTTTTGTTACGTTGTCGATTTTCTGTTCTAACTGTAAGAACTAGGATAGGTCAATATAGAGTAAATTAAATGAATGTGTACGGAACCTTGTGTAGTACATTTGACCTTTTTGGTCCCTAGTATTTTATAAAGTCCTGCAGAAAAGCCTGTTTCACGGAAGTTGGTGAAGGTTTTGAAGCCTTTCCTACGTTGCTGAACTCAAACTACAAAATCAAGATTCAAAAAAGAAAGCTGAAGGAAAAATGAGCTGTCTGACATATCGATTATTGCCTAAAGCCTGCATGTGGATGGACTGTGGTCCCAATAAGCCGCGCACATATACTGTCAGTCTGGCTCAGAAGCCTGCAGGGAATACTTATCTTTTTATAAGAACATGTTTAAGTGCTTTGGTTCTGGCTGCGTATGAGCTCATCCACAAAATGTGAGTGTCTGGGAAGAGATGGTCGATGTGCTTAGAAAGAGTAAGTGCAGCCCTGACAGCACTGATGTGTGTGTGTGGTCCCGCATTCAAACTGTTACACACACTTCATCGGAAGACGCTTCATTACCTACAGAAGCCGAGCATCCGGGGAAACTTGCAAACACGTTTATTTCAGACAAAGAAAGTCATAAAACATGCAGAAAAACTTCTCAACTTATGCACAAATACCCACCGCGACAATGTTTGTGTTTATTATATTGCAATGAGATTAGGTACAGATATGCATGCTACCCAGAGGATGCATAGTCATGACTTTGGTTATCTCATGACTCTTTATTAAAGGTCCCATGTCATGGCCATTTCTACTGATCATAATTCCATTGTTGAGGTCTACTAGAATAGATTTAAATTGTGCAATGTTCCAAACTCACATTGGTTTCTCAAACAGCATCTCTGTATAGTATGTGTATTCACTCTCTGTCCTACACGGCTTGTTGGAGCTCCTGCCCCCCCCCCTCCCTGTGAGCCCAGTGTGCTCTGATTGGTCGGGACGTTGCGAAGCTCGTTGCTGCGAGGAGCGGACAGGTTTCCGGGTCGGCGATACAGCGAGAACAAGCGAAACTCATCCTGAGCACACACAAACACTCACAGCCGAAGTAAAAACAATAAGTGTGGCTTGATATTGAGTAAGAAAAAGGTTTGTAACGCTGTGAGAATGGGTCTGCGGAGAGAATTTCTCCGCGATCCCAACTTAGCAGCCCGAAAAACGTTTAGCCATTTAAACAGTTGTGGTAGATACCTTGTTCGTTCTTCAGTGCCCTACGCTGTACATATCCGGCATGAATCGCTGAAAGATTTGTGAAGCTTTGTTTCGTGAAAGGCTGGCTTAGGGTGTGACCTCTGGGTATCCCCACGTCACAGTACCCAGGAAGAAAACAATAGAAAATGAGAAGGAGTTTTGTGGCAGCATAGACTGTGTTAGAGTTTTACTCGCTACAGGGTGTAGTACTTTCAGGGTTTTTGACTCTGCAGACCGTTTACATGCATAAAAACCTTCATAACACACAATGGGTAATAACCGGGAAAGCATGACATGGGACCTTTAAGAGGTTAAATACATCCTTTTTTACTGTTCAGTAAACCTAGGTCAGTGACATCTTTTCTGGATATTTCACATTTTATGTGATTCAAAATAATAACACAGGATTCTTTTGAGCCAAAGAGTGCCTTAAATGGAGATATATAGTGGAAGCAGGGCGATGGAGGGCATGACACTGCCTGAATGTTCTGCTGGCTCTGGTGAACTTGGCAGCCGACACCACACCTGGTCCTACAGCTTTAACAATTGAGCTATCCAGCATCACAATACACAAGAGGATTTATTTATTGTGATTCCTGATTTTTTTCTTCAAGAGCTTTTTATTTATTTGAGTAGAAATCTGATTTAATGTCTTTCAATTTGTGTGTGTTTCCATTTAAGTTCATTGGCAGTCTCAATTGTTCATTATAGTTTCTCCTTCTAGTTAAGGAGGAATGAATACTAATCAAAATGTCCTTTCCTCTTCTCTCTCTTCAGGTCGAAGCTGCAGAAGAAAACTTCCCCCTTCTCTCTCCTCTCTCCTGACAGCTGGTCCCTCAGTGGGGTAAGATCAAATCTAATTGAATTGTTCAGGGCATTTTTAAAATGTTACACTACATATAAAGCACATCAAAGTGACTCCATTACAGGTATAAAGGATCAGAAAGAAGTCAAGAACATCCCCTCAACACCTCAAATGCCATTATGTTTCTAATGTAACATACTAAACTAAATAAGAGCTGAATCTATGTATCTTTCAGTCTGGACTAAAGTATTGACTGCCACTGACATCCTTAGACCAGAATCAGTAGTTCAAAACAAACATATCCTCACATGTTTACAAACAAGGCATCATTTAGGTATTAAAGTCCAACTTCTGGGCACTTAGGCAGCTTGGAGTTTAAGTGGTTTCACCTTGGCTGTATTGAAACATCCAAAGCACCTACAAATGTTTTTCCCTGACTCGTCTTTAGCATGTTGGATGCGTCTCCATTCACATCCCCTTACAATGATGGAACAACGCCAACACATCGTCCTCGTCTTTTACACAACTCTCTCCTTGTTGCTGTAGTGGCTGCCAGGTTACCCACATACAGGTCTTCCAGCTCCTGTGTTTCATGTTTTGCTCACGCCATTGTGACGGACAAACAGCGACATTTCACATGTTGTGCTAATTTAGCGGATGTCGCTAACGCAGTTCGACTCAAAGTTTAAAGGGTCGATCTTGCACTTGTGAACTTTTGATTTGTACTATGTGTATATATGTTCGGCTGCATGTGTCCGATCTTTACCCCGATATCCAGAAGGTTTTTCACAAAGAGTCGTTGCAGCCCTATCTTAAACCAAATCATTGGACTGATTAAAAATATTGAAATGATGATTGAGCTGGTTTGGAAACTCATGGGATCACCAAAGTATCCTGTGGATAACGTGAATGTCTGTTTGGAATCAATCCCAGAGTTCATTATTCTGATTTTGTCTTTATATAATGTATACATCAATTTCTCTGGATCAATATCGACTGACTGTTGAGGGAAATACTTTCCTAGGCCCATACCTTTGACCCAGTTTATCACTCTCCCCTCCCCTCGCTGAGCTCAGGCCTGCTGCACTCTTTGTGAGAGTGTTAGAACGAGCTTAATACTTGGGACCTGGGCAGGAGCTGTGTCACCTCGTGGCTGCAGCAAACGTCTTTGTCAATTTCCTGGCCGTAACCTCCAGCTCTCCTGTGTTCTCATTGTGTCTCGACTCCTTGCTCCAGAAGCTTCCATTACATCTACCAATAAAAAATTGCCATCCCGTGTGTTGCCCGAGAAGCTAAAGCCATTAACAAACCTAGATGTATACACTGGTTTTAAAAAGGTTCCTTTAACTAAGTCGGGGTGTTTTAGCATTATAATAAACTTATATTTCATTTGCGTGATATTTTTTAACCAGAGTTGTTGTCTCTAGAGCTGGTGTCTCCATGTCTCCTGTGGCTGCTAATTATAGACGGCCTGTTTCCCCCGACGACCATCACTTCCTGTTTGTCCAATGGGAACTGAGTGGACACACACACACACACACACACACACACACACACACACACACACACACACACACACACACACACACACTGTACACATTGTGAAGGGTTCCTGTTCCTGAGGGTCTGTAGATCCATTCAGAGAGGAGGTGAGGCTTATGAGGTTAGGAGGAGAAGAGATGAGAGAAAAGCCTTTTTAATAGTTTGACTGAACAAAAAGAAAGGAGGAGGAGAAGAAGAATAAGTGTCTCTTGGACAAAACTGTGTCAAAGTGTCAAACTGGAGGAAGAAGAGAAGAAAAGGAACAGAGCAGAGTGAGAGTTCAGAAAAGGAAAGAAGAAGAAAGAAGAGAATTGCAATGTGACTGTAAAGCTGATTCAGAGGAGGCGAGAGGATACAAAAAGAAGACAGGAATAATTTGAAACTTCTGTGTCAGAAAAGGAACAGCTGATGTGACTTTGGGTTGAAAACCAGAAGGAAGAGGAGTAGCAGAATTGCAGAGAGTGTATTAACACTTGAAGTGTTGGAGGAGCAGATCTAATCTTGATGATGGGCTGCTGTCTGTTTGTTTACTATCGGGTGAGTCAACGTCTCTGAAGAGTGATTATAATGTATCCCCGGATGCTTTCAATGACAACCTGAAAGGATTCGCTGAACGTTTATTAACCTCCATCCTCTTGTCGTATTTGTTTTGTGCTATGTATCACCAACTGTTTCCCACATTTCTTATCAATATAGCAGTCAGCTAAATCGTGTTTAATTGCATTGTAATTGTTGCTAACCCACATCGGTGATTTTGAGTTGGACACTTTCTTGGAACTGTGATTCACACTACAGTCATGCTCCATGCGGCGCCTGCATCCGTATTTACGTCTGTGGTGGAACAAGTGTTGAGATAATGGAACAAAACAAATCAGGAGGAGAAAAAAAACAATAAATGAGAAGCTACCATTTTTACGTTTTTGGTTGAAAAATGACTGGAAGCATTATTAACTGTTCAGTTCATTTATTTATATTGATCAACACATTGATTAGTTGACTAATTATTGCAGATCTCAACACTTAACATCAATTGATACAAACAAACACACATGATAAAGCAAAAGTGCAGCCTCTGCACATACATAAGATGTGCAAACCAAAACTTATATTTTATTAGGTGACCAAAAATTCACAGAATAAATGGAAAATATATTTTAGCCATATTTTGTACTGTTCGACAGAGCCAGGCTGTTATCCCCTGTTTTCAGTTGTTATGCTAAGCTAAGATAGCAGTCTCTTTGCTCTTATAAAAAGGGGATAAGAACGACACTGTGGTAGATTCAGTGTATCCTAAATCCAATGATGCTTTATTTAGGTTTACCCATCTTTATTAAAACATCTAAATATACAAACATAGTAGACATGTACAGAGAACAAATATTCAAATATGAAAATACAAATAATACAATTATGACAAATAAACTTTACAGATCTAAAATTATAATTTAAAAAAACAGGTTATTCTACAAAAAGTTTACTGTACAGTTATCATTTTCTATTTAATTTTTTTGCTTTTGAAAATCAATTTATGAATGCTAAAGTATTCACTTAGAAATCCTGTGAAATTGGTAGTGACTTGTTAATTGTATACCAATGGTAATATGATATTCTAATTAAATAATACTTTGTAGAGATGGATGTTTGGAGGACTGATCTTATATGTATTTGAGGATCAGGCTCCTCCCTCATCCTTGGTTTCTATAGCGACAGCGAGTTAAAGGTAAAGTCTGCAAGGTTATATAACGTACGGCCAACAACGAAATCTCAACACAATACTGAACAAACATCAGACTTCCTGCTATTGTTATAGTCTGCAGCAATGATCCTCCTCCTCCTCCTCCTCCTCCTCCTCCTCCTCCTCCTCATCTTGTCAGACTCCTT